GAGTTTGACAGGCTCCAGTCTCTTTAGGGTGGCTCATGAGCATGTGACCCCAGTTGGAATCAATCATACTAATGAAATGGGGCCAGTGGTACCCAGAAGCAGTGAAGAACTCATTCCTAGGGCAGTTGTGATGGCACACTACACCTGAATTGTGGAGCCCTGGGTGCAATGCTTCACAATTTGTGTTTTGTGGTAGAAACTCAGTTGTGTTGTCAGGCCCCCAAATTTCCTTCATCCCAAGTGATTGGTAGGTCTATGGACTCTCCCATAACCTCTCTTGACTTTCCCATAACCAGAAAAATCCTTTTCCTGCTTGCTTTAGCCAGGCCTGTTTTCTGTTGCTGACGGCTAAAACCCCTACTGACACACACAGACATCCTTCAATCCCAGGAGACTGGCCTTGTCCTGAATCCCTTTCCTGATCTCCCTCTAGAAGCCATATGTTCCTCTCCCCAGTACTTCCAGCTCACCTACCCTCAGGGCCAGCTAGCAGGTGATTTTAGTGCAGCTCCACATTAAGAACAGGGACAGCTGGCTGTGCTAAAATCACAGGCCGTTTGAACCATTTATAGGGAGCATGTGCTTGTTTCCTAGGGCCACTTGTGTCTGGGAGGATGGAGAGATGGTGTCTCAGATCTTGCTCAGTGGGTCTTCCTAGAAAGCAGACTTATGACAGGAACCCTAGCAGGTTCCTAGGGATTGTGGAAGGAACAGGTGATCCCCAGAATTCAGTGTAATCTGTATCTAAGGAAGTGCCTGGATTGGGCCACAGGAGAGGCCAGTGACTGGCCAGCCAAGCGGGAGAGAAGGCAAGGGACAGGAGAAAGAGGAGGGAGTCTCCAGCACCCACACCAGCCCATGGCAGAAGAAGGAGCTTCTGCTTCAGTGATAGAAGGTTTTCTATTTTCAGAGAGTTCTCAGCACAAGCCATAGAATCTGATGATGCTTGTGGCCATTAACAACAACATTAGAACACTGAAGCAGTCCTTCATCCCCGTATCTGGCTTATTAGGTGATTAAGTGGTATGAAATTGGAGCCATATTAATCTTTGACCAGCCAGATACATTTTAGCTGACGTATGTGCAACCTTCCAAAGTCCCACTCCCTTTCTCTACACAAGCTAGGTTGTTCCAGAAGGTTCCAACAGAAGCAACTATGACCCTATTGGATAATTTCAAGTTATCTGTATTGCCCAGAAAGATAATTTCAGAACCCATATCAGGGTCTCATATATAGCCCAGGCTGGCCTCAAACTCACACTCACTGTCTCAGATTCCTGCATGCTGAATTACAGTATGCATCACCTTTTGGTATCCAGCCTCACTTTGCTCTTTGGGCATAAGTTCTGAACAGTGAGAAGTAGTGCTTGTGCTTGCCAATAAGTGCAGCTCATTCTTTTCCCTCTCTTTGGATGGAGATCAGCCCATTCCAAGTTTTCACACATTCCCAATGGAGGTCTCCTCTGCAGAGTGTCACTTAGGTGTAGGAGGCATATAACCCATATTCTGGTAAAATTGCTTGCTCACCTGTTTTCGCTGAAGACCATTTTTATTCTGTGACTGTTTTTATTCTGAGAACAAGTCCTGGTGTGATTTTATGCTAGTGTTATTTTTATGACACTCTATTTTTTTTTAAAGATTTATTTTTATCTTATGTGTATGAGCTTTGCCTGTACAATGTATGTGTGTGCACCATGTGCATGCCTGGTGCCTGCAGAGGCCAGAAGGGAGTGCCAGATCCCCTAGAACTGAGTTGTAGATGGGTGTGAGCCACCATGTGGGTACTGAGAACCAAACAGGGTTCTCTGCAAGAACAACAAATGCTCTTAAAGGCTGAGCCATCTCTTCAGCTCCCCCATAAATAAATAAATAAATAAATAAATAAATAAATAAATAAATAAAATTCCATAAACCCCAGAATTACCCTGAGAAAAGTGAAGGACAAAGGGATATTGAGTAGATTGGGCTTGGGGAAGGTAGGTGGGATGAACAACTAGGCCTTGGGACATTTGTATCTTAGTAGAATGTTTCCTAAGCCACAGGCTGGGTTTTGTTGGTTCAGGTATGCCTGCCAAGGGATATTGGGCCTTAGGGAATGACTCATGGAGATGATTCCTGGGGCCCACATCCAGGTGTGGCCCCACCCAGCAATGGCCTAACTGAGCTGTTTCTGTAAAATGGTTTTTACTGAAGGTCTGACAGGTTTTATATTTATGTGGTAGAGCTGGGATTTGAACTCAGGCTATCTGGGGCCAAAGCTATTTTCTATTCTCCATTAGAATCCTCCTTGCAGCAAGGTAGGGGAGGGCTTTGAGTCTGAAAATTCTGGAAAAGGCATCAGTCTCTAAGCAGAGCCCCATGTTCAGCTGAGATTCTAGCCCCACCCCCACCCCCTGTGATCCAACAGAGGTCCTGGAAAACATTTGGAATTCTAAACACATAGGCCATCCCTTACATCCCAGTCCCTGACCAGAGGGAACAGACAGTACAACGTTAGGAAGAATGGATAAGCATGGTGAGTGGGCTTGAAAGGGAGCAAACCAAGATAGGACCACTTGACCCATCTTGGACCAACCATCCCATCACCATGGTGACATCAGAAAAACTGAACCTTTTCTCAGTTACTCATCCATATTGCTATAAGCTCACTACTTTTCCTTCTTAAATATTCTTGTCATCCACCATTAATTCTTTTACCTTCCCTTGTTTCTGTTCAGACCTTTCTGTGTCTTCTCTGGCCTGGGTGTAAGTGTAAGCATGGCAGCTGGGATAGCAAGGTATCCTGGCAGTCAGGAGCCAAGGAATACCATGAAGCCACTGTAAGTGTAGCAGCTTACAGTTCTGTTCCAGGGAAAAGTTTTCCAGTGTAAGTGTAACAACTCTACTCTAGCCAGGGAGGGTTTCCTCCTCGAAGTTGTTACAACTCTGTTTAAGTTTGGTAAAGTGTTTCAGTTCTGCTCCACTCCACTCTGCTCCAGAGAAAGTTGTTACATCTGGGCCTACTCCCTGGAAAATATCAATCATATCGTGGAACAAACCGCACTCAAGAGATTTATTGGGAAGGAAGAATCCAGGAGGGTGGCTGCCTCTAGGGTGAGAAGCAGCAGCAAACGGGAACTGGGTACAGAGAGATTATATAGGGTTTCTTAGAGGGTTGGGGGTGGAGCTTTCCAGGGTGGCTTGAGATTGGTGGGGTTTTGTGGTCTGATTCTGGGGCAAGCTCAAGGCCAGGTGGCACGTGTGTTTGACCCCAGCACGCAGGAGGTAGAGGCAGGTAGATCTCTGTGAGTTTGAGGTCAGTCTGGTCTACATAATGAGTTTCAGAACAGCCAGAGCTACATAATGAGATACTGTCTCAAAAATAAATAAGGATATTAAAAAAAACTAAAAAGACCCAAACCAAAAGAAAAAATTAGAGTGCAGGGGGTGGAGTCAGGGACTCAGATTGTAGCCCAGGCTGTCCTGGGACCCATTACATAGCACAGGCTGTTGGCCTGAATTCTCAGCAATCCCCCTGCTGCAGCCTCTCTAGTGCTCATTATCAGCATGAGGCACCACCTCGACTGTAATGATCCTTAAAGTCCCCTGTCCTGTTGGAGGGAACATCCTACAGTACAGCTCTGGGAAGGTTGCTCTATCAGAACACTCATGACAAACAGCTCCAAGCCTCCCTTTCCAATCCCATTCCCTAGCCCCGCCCCCACCCTTTCCCAGCACCTCCTTCTGTCTGTGTTAGGCCTTTCACTACCAGAGTCCTCATCTGTTTCCATGGGTCTTCACCTGTGGCAAGCCCAAGAATGGGCACTTTACGATAGTGTCTGTCACATTTACAGACCCCCTCCACGGTCCACCACGTTGCCCACGTTACAGGCGCCCAGATGACGAAGCACAGTGAAGCGCTGAACATGTGGGCTGCAGGTACACGGTGCCTAGCACTCATTTGCCTTTCTTCTTGACAACACGCCCGACACAAGCAAGCAGCTTAAGGAAGGAAAGGGTTGTTCCGACTGCCAGTTCGAGGGTGCAGTCCCTTGTAATGGGGAAATTGTGGTGGCAGAAGCATGAGATCACATTGCATTTGCACCCAGGAAACAGTTTACCTTGCTTTCTCCTTTGTATTTAGTTCCAGACTAGCCCATGGGACGGCGTCACTCATACTCATGGTGGGTGTTCACATATCAATTAAACCAACCTAGAAACCCCTTCACACAAACTCTGTGTTTGATCCTGTCAATTTAACAGGTAAGATCAACCAGCACTTATCTCAAAGTATTTTACATCTTACTTGAGAACTCATACAACAAATATCTAAATATAAAAGTAATAGAGACTGGAACCCTAACTGAAGACCTAGTATATATTGCTAACAGTAGCTTCTATCATACACACACACACACACACACACACACACACACACACACACACACCGTCTTGCCTGTTACTATCAGTCTATTCAGTTCCTAACTTGAGGAACAGATGGCCAGTGATCTATAGAAATTGTCCTTGATCTTTCCAGGGCAAACCCCAACTGCCACCCCTTTAAATCTAGCTGTCTCGAGTCTGCCTACATGCTAGGTGAATATTTGCTAATGGAATGGATCCCTCCCGGAGAAGACTTGCTTAATTTCAGCCGAGGAACCTGCTTTAGGCCCTGATCTATTACTTGCAGTTTTGATGTCTGGGAGCTGAAAAAAGTGTCAGTCAGCTTGAGAGGGGGCAGTGTGGCTGAAATCCACTTGCAGTTGGTCAAGCCGGAGACCAGTTTCTGGTTTGGTCAGCTACGCCTGTCCATCTGGCCTCCAGTGACACTGGGCTTCCTACCACAAAGGAAAATCAAAATTAGAAACAAACATACTCAAGAGGCAGAGGCAGGCAGGTATCTGTGTGTTCCAGGCCGGCCTGGTTTATATAGTGAGTTTTCCTCCTCAGAGCTATACAGTGAGACTGTATCTCAATAATAATAATGATAATTTAAGAAACAATCCATAAGCGACCACCTATTGAAATGACAATTGGTGTTTATTAACGTTGGGCAACCCTCCTTCTTCCGTGTTGGCAATATATGTTCGTTGATTGCTTGCACAACGGCAAGCAGGAAACTGTTTTACTCAGACACTATCTAGAGTCAGCCTCACAACCACTCTTGAGGTAGGTGCCACTTTTCCCGCTTCAGAGACGGAAAAATGGAGCTTGGTGGAAGCGAGGTGACTTGCTTGGAATCCTTAGCAAGGAAGCTCAGGAGGGCGGGAACTCCGCAGCAGTCCGGGAATCTGGGACTCCGAAGCCCTTTGGCAGGCAGCATCTGGCCGGCGGCATCTCCCCCACGCATGCTGGATTCAGGCTCCTGCAGCAAGCTGCCAGGTCAACGGGCTGCGCTAACCCCCTCCCCGCCTGTAGGCGTGAAGACCCCTCTGTGGAAAAAGGAGGTGGAGGAGCCCGAGGCCAGGGAGGAGGAGCTGGAGGACGAGTCGTCGTCGTCGTCGTCATCGTCGGAGGTGGAGAGGCCGGACCCCGAGAGCGCGGCGGAGGTCGAGGAGGACGCCCGTGATGCGGAGGAGCGAGAGGCCCGCTCGGTGTCCTACTGCCCTCTGCGCCAGGAGTCAAGCAGCCAGCAGGTGGCGCTGCTGCGACGCTCGGACAGCAGCTTCTGGGGCTGGCTAAGCCCTTTCGCGCTACTGGGTGGCCTAGCGGGCCCTGCGGACAGGTGAGACGCAAGCACCCCGGGCCGAGCTTTAGGGAGGAGGGCCTCAGGGCCACTGAGCACTGACGTCCCTGGCCCGTAGGAAGCGGGGTGCCCCGGAAGAACCGTGTGTGTTGGAGACGCGGCGGCGACCACCGCGCCGAGGGGGCTGTGCGCGCTGCGAGATCCTTTTCTGCAAGAAATGCAAGAGCCTGCATAGCCACCCGACCTACATAGAGCACTGTATTCTGGAGCACCCTGACCCGGGTAGTGCGGAGGCCGCTGGGAGTTCTGAGCTCATCCACTCCCAGCCTCTGCGCCCGCAATGCTCCAAACTCTTCTATCTCTAGTGTGTTCCACAGAACTGTCCTTTTAAGCCGCCGTCCTTAGCGCCTCCTTCCGGTAAGAAGGCCCACTGTTGTTTCACGGTTCCACCTGTTGTCTCTCCGAACTACAGCAGAACCTACGCACTACTCCCCAGACAATACCCAATACCTACAGCCCTCCTGACCCACGCCTCCAGCGCAGCCTCATCTGCATCTTTTTCAGGTCCGTCTGGCCAGGCGAACAGAGGCATCGCCTGGAGAAAAATAGCCTCGGAGTTCCCTCAGCCCACTAAGAAATCGCCTCTTTCCCCCAAACCCCTCAATAAAGTCTCTAATCAGTCTCCCGAGATGGAGTGGAGTGATAAAGATGGGACTTCTCTCTCCTGGGTACAATCCACAAAGCAGCGGGCTAGCAGGGAGGTTCCTCCATGGTCTCCTCGGGACAGGGCAGTACAAAGCAACTGGCAGTCAAAGGCCATTCTGTCCACTGCACAGAGAAGAAAGGAGGGCACAGGGCCAGTGATGCTTCTGGGGAACTGCAGGCTCCTCCCATGCCAAATCATTCTCTCCTCCCTGAGAGCAGGCTCGCGGTGGCCACTGTGTGTGTGCAGAGGCTTTGGTAGGTGGAGGAGGAGGCAGAATAGGATGCAGATCCAGATGCTAAAATTAATACAGAGACTGGCTCAGACAAAAGGGGAAAAGCTGGGGAGCTGGTTCCTTCTCCAGGAATCCCAGCTATTCTTGGCTAGACAGCATGAGCTTCGGAATGCTGCTGCGTGTGTGGCCTGGAGAATGGGGCCATTGAGAGTAAATAGGCCTCACCCAACCTGCAGAGCACTGTGGGGACTGCATTCCCAGTGCCTGTGATAGGCAGACCCCGAAGGGCCCTCTGCCATCTTCCTGCTGCACAAGACGTCCGTCTGGAAGGCAAACTGGGTGAAGACTGTCTGCTTTTTGAAGAGAGGTCTACCCCCTCTCTCCATGACAACCAAACATACCCGCTGTCCCTTAGTTGGATGTAAGAGCATGGTCCTCGTGCCTCAAGCACCCTGTACCTGCTTCTATTGAGAAGGGTGGAAGAGTCTGCCTAAGGAAGGCCAGCTGAGGGTGCTTCTTCATCACCCCAGACAAAAAGTCAGGCCGAGGAGGGTCACATTCTGGTCTGCTCAGGGCCTCAGAGTGGAGAGAGGAGCCTTCACCACACCCAAACTTGCTGGGGGTGGGAGGTAGGGTGAAGTCTCTGATGGTATAACTCGTGATTTCCCAAGAGCTGAGCCTGAAAGGCATAGAAGGGGAGGGGTCTGCAGAGTAGTCCTCACCCCCAGTTGATATTTGCATCCTCTCTGGGACTCAGAACTATGGGTGTGGGATTGCACCTTCATCAGAACAGAAAGCCCTCAGGAGTGGGAAGGAAAGAGGTCCATGAGGGGAAAGGCCTAATTTTGTTTCTCCTTCGACCACGGAAATAAATGCAGATTTCCTGCTGGAGCCAGTGCTACAGGGAAGTTCCTGCGAGGTTCAAGGGCTTCCTAGACAGGCCCCGCCCCTCAGGCGGGGGCAACCACTGTTCATTCAGTATGGGGAGCCTTCAGAACAGGGCACCTCCTGAGTTGGCATTCCAACAGCCCATCCAGGACAGCTCTGTGGCCCAGCGGCCAGAGCTGGTCACCCGCAGTTTGGCTTGATCCAGTTGCCAGTAGTGGTCATCTCTGAAGAAGACGACGGAGCCATCCGGTCTTGGCAGGGCACCACTGACCTCCTCAGGGACCCCGGCCCAGTCCCTCAGGCTGCGGGGATAGTAAGGCTCCACTTGCTTACCCCCTCGAGCCAGCACGTAGTAGCGGGAGCCCTTGAAGAGGACAAGGCGGCGCAGAGGCGGGAAGAAGAGAGCTGCGTCCGGGTGTCTGGGCAGACGTCCACCCCGGCACAGCTGTGAGTGCCCCCACACAGACTTCGTGCCCTGGAACCTCCAACATCGACTCCCTGTGGGGGCATTGAGACAGCCAGGGTGAGCTGGAGGCGATCACTCATCGGCCTTCCATCCCATCTCTGTCCCCTTGGTTCCTATTTTCTCTTAAAGCCCAAGACAATTAGTTACCCCTGGAGCCTGTCAAAGTGTGGCTAAGAACTATAAGTACACCGTAGAGGGGAACCTGCTATGGCCTAGACTTCCAGCAGGTGCCAGCAGAGAGCAGACGACACTGAACGAACCCATCTATCCCAGGCTGGGGAGGGTAGAAGAGTGTTGGGAAAGAGGGTGGGGGGTGCAGGCAGGATTCCCTGACTCGGAGTGGAACGGAAGATTGAGAAGGCTTGAATTTTTCATCATTCCCCGACTACTAATGATTCCCAGAGGGCAACAGTGTTTTGTCGACCACTGTGTCTCCAGTCCATCCCTCTCCCTGTGCCTAGGACACGAGGTTCTCAGCGCTGGTTGGAGGAGTGCTATTCAATACAGTATTACCACACGTCCAGTCACGTGCTGTCCACTCTTCAGTCACTGCCTTTTATCCGGCTTCCCCATCACACCTGAGTATTACTCTCACTATCCAAGAAATGCAAGTTCCCGAAGCTAAGTGGCACGCCATCCTCACACTGCCAGGATGCCAGGGCAGACGCCTCCAGATTTTTCTGCTGACCTGCAGACTGGAGAGCAGTCTGTAGAGACGCTACACGTCTCTACACGGGACAACCTGGACACTTGCCACTTCCAACTCCATCCCTGAAAGGAGTCTTTCCTGGGCCACAGGCTCAACAGTGAGTTTCACCAGGGACTCATTGTTGGGGACACCCTCCCCCATCTCAATCTCAGCTGACTCGGGCTGATACCTTTGAAGAAGTAGAAGTCTCCATCTTCCAGTGACACTGCAGCAGCCTCAATATCGGGGGGCAACCCAGGCCACCTTTTCTGTAGTGGACGGGGCTCTGAAACATTGCCGTCAGCTGTGACTTCCCAGAAGTAGCTCCCTTTGAAGATGTACAGTCGCCATTGCCTATCTGTCCCAAGACAAGAGATGTGAAGAAAGGCCATTGGCCTCCTGCTGACTTTGGGGGTGTGTGTGTGCTGATCTACACCGGGTTTTCTAGACAAGGCTAAGGTGGGACGCACAAGGAGGGCCGAGGGAAGCATGAGTTCGGCGCTGGGCCTGAACTTGACCCCGCCCCTCACCCCAGGAAAGCAAGTGATTCCCGATATCGATATTCAAGATACCTCCTTTCTTCACACCTTGTAATTCAGTTCTGGGGGCCCTAGAGATGTAGAAGAGGGAAAAACAACACCAGGCATGGTTAGGATCATCTTACCTACAGTGATGGCATCAAAGGAAGAGTGGCAGTATTTAGGACCTCTGGTTTCGGGGCGTATCCTCCGGGAGTTGTGAGGGTCCCAGGCCTCAAAGTCAGTGAATAGCTTTCCGGGGAGTTGGGTGGCCACTGAGCGTCCCAGAGGCTTCCCTTAAGATTCAAGAAGAGAGATAGCAGACATGGGTGGGCATGTGTGGAGGGCTCAAGACCCTCCTTCCCTCTGCTCTGCGCATAATCTGAGACCCAAGGAAGGGGAAAGGGCAAGTGCAGCCCTGACTGTTGGTTTTCACCAAGAGCGCACTAACCCAGCAATCTCCTCTCCCACCCAACATCCAAAGATAGCATGAGATTAGGAGCGCAAACAAGAGTTCTGAGCTAAGGGCAGAGGTTTTCACTCATGAATAGCTTGGAACTGATGGAGAAAAGGGGGAAAGCAGAGCCTGCATATATTCAGATTTCAGGGGCGCCTGGGGCTTTAGGAAAGAGAAGAAGCGATCGGAACAAGGAAGTGACGGGGGAATCCCATTTGAGGAGCCAGAGTCCGAGAACTGAAGATCCTAAAGGACAAGGTTAGAGAGAACCAGTAGCGGGCTGGGGGCTCACCATACAGGCTCTGTACCGCTAGCACATCGTCCCAGCTGAGCAAGGCGTCGCGGCCCAACTTCTTATAGTAGGGCGCCATGAGCGCGCGCGGTGCTGGCGAGTGCGCGAGGCCGAGCGTGTGGCCGATCTCATGCGCCAGCACCACGAACAGGTTGCGCCCACGGCGACGGCTCAGGGACCAGCGCTCATCTCTGTCGAAATGTGCTTCGCCCCTGCGGGGCAGGAAGGCGTGCGCCAGAGCGCCCCCTGCGGGCGTGACACGGAGGGCTGGGATGAGCAAGGACTAGGGTCTCCCTCCCGCAGGCACTGTACTCCCACGTGGGGGGTGTGGCTGTCATCTACTACCTTTTCTAGAATGATAGGTGCAGGAGTGCTGGCAGGTGAGCAGATGACTAAACAGTGAACTCTTACCAGAAATGCACTGTAGACTCACCGAGTGGCCAAACTGCCTGGGCTCCAATACTAGATTTACCATTTACTAACTGTGTGGTCTTGGGCAGACAGCTTAATCTCTCTGTGTTAAGCTTCCTGATCTGAAAATGGACATGGTGATGAAGAGCTTCTTCCTCACAGGAGCAAGCGCGTGGGTCACACTGGAGAATTAAAACAGTGCCTAGCCTAGGCACTATTAATATTGGTTACACCTAGAAGAGGAATGGTAAGGCTCTGTACTGTTTCCTGACCTGTGCTTGGTGTGTTATGTTCAGGAGTCGGCAAACTGAACACAGTGTGCTTCTATGTGAATGCACATTTTTTTTCTTTCTTTTTTTTTTTTTTTAAAAGTGGTTTATGAGCTGGGCAGTGGTGGCCCATGCCTTTAATACCAGCACTTGGGGGGCAGAGACAGCGAGTCTTTGTAAGTTCAAGGCCACCAGGGCGACCAGGACTACACAGAGAAACCCTGTCTCAAAAAAACAAAGTTTTTTTTGTTTTTTTTTTTTGTTTTTTTGTATGGCTGGACATGGTGATGCATGCCTCTAATCTCCGACACTCAGGAGGCAAAGGCAGATGATCTCTTCAAGTTACAGGCCAGTCTGGTCTACAAAGGGAATCAAGGCCAGCCCTGGTTACATAATGAGACCCTGTTCTGTTTTTGTTTGTTTTTTTTAAGTGTGTGTGTCAAGTGTGTCATGCAGAAGACAACTTGAGAGACTCTGTTCTTACATTCTGCCACGTGCGTTCTAGGGATCAAGCAGTTTGCATGCAGGCTGGAGAGTGAGGGCAAGCACCTTTACCCACTGAGCCATCTCACTCCCACCCCACTTCTTTTGGACAGGGTCTTATGCTGGCCTGGTGTAGGTGTGCTCACTTGTGCAGGCCAGAGGTTGATGGTTGTTGTTGGGATGTCTTTCCTCAGTCACTTTTCTACCTTTAAAACATTAAATTAATTTTTTGATCGAGTGTCTCTATGTAGCCCTGCCTGTCCTGGAACTCATTACATAGATCAGGCTGGGCTCTGTCTGCCTCTGCCTCCCAAATGCTGGAATTAAAGGTGAGCATCATCACACTCAACTAAATTATTATTTTATTATGTTTATACGTATTTTACCTGCATATATGTCTATGTAACACATGTGTGCCTGGTACTCTCAGATGTCAGAAGAGGGCGTCAGATCCCCTGGAACTGAAGTTACAAAGTGAGCCACCATGAGATGATGAGAACTAAACTCAGTTTCTTTAGAAGAGCAGCCATTGCTCTGAACCATTGAGCCATCTCTCTAGCCTCTTCCACCTCTTTCTTTCTTTCTTTCTTTTTTTTTTTTTTTTTTTCTTTTTTTTTTTTTTTTTTTGAGACAGGGCCTCTCACTGAACCCAAAGCTTGCTATCCTGGCTAGATTGGCTGGCCAGTGAGCCCCCCAAGATTTTCCTGTCTCCACACCCCAGTGCCGAGAATCTGAACTCAGGCCCTTGTGCAGTGCTGAGCCATCCCTCCAATTTCATGGCCACCAGCGTGCTGGGATTACAGGTGTGTGCCACCACACCTGGCTAGTATATATGGCTTTTTATAAACATATATATCCTTGTGTTCCTGTCTTCTGCCAGTGCTTCTCTCTGTGGGCCTCTCTCCCTGCTGTCATAGGAGTGAGCAGAAGTTAAGTGCCTCAGTGATTCTCACAGGTGTATATCCGTCCCCAGAGAAATAACTAGATATGTAGCTCCCAGGTCTTAACCATTGAGTCATCTCTCCAGTCTCTCCCCTTGTACACACCTACACTAAGGCAGGTGACCCTGATAGAGGCTAGCAAACAGCTCTGTGATAATGTTAGCCTAGAAGGCTCATCGTGAGTCCTTCAGCTTTTCCTTCTAGGAGCCCAGGTTGGAAAAGACTGACAAAGGTGGAGGCAGAGCCTGTCAAATGCAGGAGGAATTTGTGTTTCCTGAATGTGCTTCGGCCGGCCGTCTCCAGCACTATCCACTTTGCCCATATTCAGATTCTGAAGACCAGTGCTGAGCACAATGGAAGAACAGCTTACACTAGAGAGAAAGCCTGCAGGCTGGGGACAAATGGAAGCAGCTGTGGCTGGGATCTACGAAGCACTTCTGTGAATGCCAGGGTAAAGGCCTCTTGCACTGGCTGTCTGGGGCAGGGGAGGGAAGGACTGATGGTGGCCTCTGGATATCTTAGGAGGGTCTACTCTAGAGAACAAAGCAGTACAGGTCTGTCTAGAAGCAGGAGTAGACAATCTCAGAATGTTCTCCAAGAATCCAGCACACTCTAGCATTACCAAGGTGCTTTTCACACCAAACCTTCTCTAGCTGTCCTTTCAGCCATGTGGTACATTTTGGGCAGAGCTTTTTGTCCTCAGTTTATAGATGAGTAGATGGAGGGTCCTTTGGAGGAGAACCTGGCTTGGCCTTGGTTTCAAGGAGAATAGAAACTCTACTGCCACCCCAGGGGCTGCCTCTCCTAGCCAGGTGCCCCTCCTGCTGTGTGGAAAGAGGCTTTGTGGCAGCACCTGGACCATCAAAGGCGTTGGCCAACCCATCATTGTGGTCCCCTTGGAAGAAGGTGAGGCGGATGTCAGCAGGGCCTGTGGCTGGGGCCTCCCAGAACTCCAGCGCTGACACGTTGCTCCACAACTGGAAGGCAGCTCTTACGGCCCCTCGAACAGCTGGCTCAGGCAAGCGCTCAGGCCAGTTCACCAGGCGGTAGGAGAGATGCTGCTTGTACCATTTGTTACCTGTCACCCAGAAAGGTGGTGTGAGCCGTACATACCAGCTGCTGAGGCTAGTTCCCACAGGCCCAATAGAATGGGCTGGCCCAGCCCCAGGGAGTCCCTGATCTGGTAGGGAACACTGAGTCCCTGCCTTGAGCAGCCTCCTATTTGATGGGAGGGAAGATATGTCCCTGCTGAAGGGAGCTCCCACTCTGGGCAGACTACCCTTCTCCTGGAGAGTCTCCAATCTAGTGGCCTGAGAGGCACCATCTGATGATAGAGACCATAGCTTCTGCACAGAAAAGTCCCCCTTCAGGGATCAGTCTGCACCCCTGGTCTTGGGTCTTATTCTTTCCTACAGCCCAGGCTGGGCCTGAGAAAGCTACATGCCACTTGCTGATAATCACTCTGAGGCCCATCCTCAATGTGTCCAGATGGAGAGTCAGTGGGGCCACTAAGGTCACAGCTGTACCTGCCCCAGGCACTCCCTCCACCCTTATGGTCTCCTATTACCTCCCAGAGACCGAACTCTGCACTTTCCAGAACCTAGGGCCTGTGGCTGGCCAACAACCATAAAAAACCATATATGTGAGGTCTTCCCCTGTCCCCTTGACCTCGTCCCCACTTCCTTGGGGGACTCTGGGGACCTCTGAGTTGAAGACAAATAAGAACAAAGGGTGTGTTTTGTCACAGGCCCAGGAAAAGTTTTCCATTTCTTCTTACTTAAGCTTCTTTCCCTTTGCCCCAACCTCCGTTCCTCCCTGAGGGCCAGGACTCTGGCCTCTGCCAGAGCCCCGGGTCACTCATTACATTGGACCCATCTGCAGTTTGCTGTGCAGACAAGGACAGAGTAGCCAGAAAGTCTGGCTTTAAGTTTGTCAGGGATGGCCTCTGAGCCCTGTTACCCAGAGATTAAAATCCCAAATGGAAGCCTCATAGCTTGCAGGCAAGATTCCCCAGGACCAGATGACTATAACCCAGGGGAAGGTGCCTGCCCACAGCTGCAGAGTGTGAGAGGAGCTGAGTTGGGGCCTGACCCCTGGCCCAGTGCTCCTTCTACAGTCCATACAGAGAAGCAGTCCTCCCTGCAGAGACGCCAGGCCTGTAAATCTGCCTAAACATTAGGGTCAAAGCTTAGCAAGGGCTGAGATTCCCCAGATGGGAGGGAGGTTCATTCTGGCCCTCTCCACCCATGGAAGTGGGGGTGGGGTGTGCCCCGCTCCATTCAAGGCAATGCATCTCCTTGGGCTTGTTTGGCTGGGCAACCACCCAACCACTGCCTCTGGGCCAGTGACCAGTCCTCGAGGAGTGAAGAGGGAGTTATTTTGAGGAAGGGAGGGAGACAGGGATGTTGGAGGCAAGAGCCAGTGGCCAGTCCTTAGAGAGCTGAAGAGGGAACTATTTTAGGGAGGGGAGGGAGACAAAGAAGGTGGAGGCAAGGCTGGGGATCCAGAGGTGTCCACCCAGGATGGTTTATTCTTTACCAAGAACACTCTGCTGCTTGCTGTAAGTCTTCCCAGGGCACAGGGCAGCATGCATGCGTGCGTGCATTGGGTTCTTCTATATCCTGTTGTGAGTGGCCAAATCTCAGACTCTTCCCAACCACCATCACTAGCAAGTGGTATGGGGTGGCTCCCTCTGCAGTTATGGGTTGTCATTTCCCCACATCCACCAGGCAGGAAAGAAGGAGGTGGTCGTCATTTTAGTAGCCAGCGAAGGTGATAGGTCTCAAGGAAAAATCCTCTGTGGAGTGGGGTGAGGTGGGGTGGGGGGAGGGTAGGGAGAATGAATAGGAACAGGAATTGAGAAGAAAGAGGAAAAGAAAGAGAAAAAGCAAAAGAGTGCTTTCCTTGGGAGGGACCAGGAAGGAAGGAACTGCTTGTGTGCGGTAGGGACAGCACTAGCCCTGTCCCCTATCCTCTTCTACCTTGGCCCCCAGGAGAGGCTGGCTGTTTCAGGCCCTAATCTCAAGTCCAACCTGGGCAGGGCTGCTTTTCATAGTAACTGCAAGCCCCCAGCATGTGGTATTGCCCTCTGCCCTCCCTCCAGGGTCCCAAAGGGAAGAGGGAAGGGAAGGAGCTAAGGAGGGCAGGGACAGGAAAGCTGTAAGTATGGGCTAGAAGGACTGTGGAGCCCTGACTCCTATCAGGGAACTGATGATAGGAACGGGGTATAGGCTGAAACTATAGTCCTGTAAGTGCAAGCTCTCAGGAATTGTGGAATCTCTCCAAGCCTCAGTTTCCCCCTCTGTACAATGGGGTTGATTAGGCTTACCTTTTGGAATAGCGTTGTGAAGCTGCCTGAAATGTGGTGGAGGCTTAGAAATGCACATTTGCTTTGATTTCCTTTTTCGACTCAGATACATACCTTGCTCCCCAACCCACCAACTCTGTGAAGAGACGGGGGTCCAGAAATCAGCCCTGTAGGCACAGAGGGGAGCAGGTACCTGGCCTGAGGTTGGGAGATGCAGCACGTATGAATCCAGGATGCCCAGTAAAATTTGAATAAGAAACACAAATGCGATTGCTTATTCGTTTATCTAAAGTTTAAATTTAACTAAGGTAGTCTGGCAATCAAGTACTCAAACGGCCAGCTACGAATGCACTCGGTTAGATTCCACCTTTGGGCTGGAGAAGATGAGCTGCAGTCAGAAGGAAGCATCCCAGAGCTCGGGCTCAAGTGTTTCTGGGCCTGCATATTTCCCACCGCATTCTCACAGGCCCCTTGCACTCAGTAGCCCTGGATGGCCCTCCTTTAAACCTAATAAGGTCTGACTCTTGCGTGAGGGAGGGTGACTGATCAGAACCAAGTGGCATGACTTGGTCACGATAGCTGATACTTGAACTCAGTGCCGGGAGCTCCAGAGTAGTGTTGTGTGTAACTCTCCTTTCTTACTTCACTCTTCCTCTCTGCTGCCCAGAAACACAATGGGATGTACAGCATGCTGACACCAGGGACATCTTGACCCCAGTGCCAGGACCCTAGAGCTGACGGTGGATGAATACGGTCTTTCAGAACAGGGCAGCCATGGTGGATGGCCATGTAAATGCAGCAGAAATGGACTAGCATGTGCTTGGGAACTGCAGCTGCCCACAATCTCCTTGCCCATTAACTAAGAAATGAAAACAAGTTCTGTGCGTTCAATCCCGTGTATAATGAGCGAGGTCGGTTAAAGAGGCACAGTTAAAAGTGGCCACAATCGAGTGAAATTAATTATACTTGAAAATCTGTCAGAAAAACATCATCTTGTGAACAACCTTGGAGGCTGCAAAAGCTGATCAAAGAAAAAATGACTTAGTCAAAGCAACCATGATACCATAAATTCCACACAGCAAAACTTATTACTTGTGGAAAATTAACAGAATAAATCCAATCTTATAGACTGTAGAAGAGTAGCAATGACCCTGAAATATTTGGCGGGGTAGGAGAAGAAGGAAGAAGAGGAAGAGGGAGATAGGGAGAAGGGAGAGGAGAACATTTTCAATGTAGATCAGTGGCATCATTCATGGCCCTGGGTTCCTCCAATTCCAGCACTAGAAAGAAAGAAGCAGGAAGGGAGAAGAGGGGAGGGAAAGAGAAGACAAGGAAAAATCCCAACAGGAGAAACTGCAGCGTATACAATGGGCTGTGATGAAATGTTCAATACAGGCGGATCCCTTGAGACAAATTAGTGGTTGCCAGGGCTGGCAGCAGGGCACAATGGGGAGTTAACTGATACTAGGCATGGGGTTTCTTCAGAGGATAATGAAAATGTTCTGGAAGGAGGAATTAGCTTGTGGTAATGGCTGCACAATTCTACTACTATACTAAACCCCTCTAATTGGATACTTTCAATGACAAATTGCATGGCATGTGAATTCCATCTAAATAAAACGTTATTTTTTTTTTAAAAAAAAAGGTGCTATGAACAAAATAAAACTCATCAACAGATCACATCTTGGTTGAATAAGAGTTATGAAAAGAATAGATTCTTATGGAAATAACTTCAATAAAATATAAACAAAAACTATTGACAACAGCCCTGCATAGAAAACTGACCAGAGAATTAAGTGGGCTTGATGGGGTTTAATCTAGAGAATACATGTGCAATGAAAATTCATCAATGCAGATAGAATTTAGAGCTAAATATCTATATTCATGATCATGGTCCTTGAGTCAAAAGATCTGCCCCTTTTCTGCCAGAGGCAAGAGAGGCTTCTCCTGGAGTCCCTGCTTAGCTCAGCCTCTTTTATTTTTGGCCATGGGCTCTTCTGGGCCCCGGGGAATCCCAGCCTAATTGGATTCAATGCACTTACCTGGCCTTGCAAAGCGTTTCTTACGTCTCATTTTGGCCCCGGGTCCAGCAAACAGGGCACTGATCCTCTTTGCCCAAGCGGCATGACTGTCAGTATCTGCAACCCCACATCTCGGAAGTGTCATCTGACGCAGTGTGGCCTGGTCCAGCACACCACTGATGGGCAGCTGGGACACCCACTGGAATTCTCTGCGAGGAGGAATTGAGAGAAAGGAATACAGAGGGATGGGGAGGGGGCGGACATAGTTGGAGCTATGTATCTTGCCTTCACATCCCTCCATCATACCTGATGGCATTCCTGAACTGAGTGGAGGCTGGAGCTTTGGAGCCCTGCTCACTGAAGTATCCGTACTTCTCCAGGAATGCCTGGGGGGAGAGAGGACCATGCAGCATCCTAAGACTGTTGGTAAACTACAGCAGAAAAAAAGTATTACAGCCAAAAGGCCACCGTGACTAGCTGGAGGGTTGCAGGCAAGCTCCTCAATATATCTGAACATCCAGCTTTCTTATAATCTTCTGGCATTGTCAGAAATCCAACAGGGTGTGCTGGACAGTGATGGGCTCTGAAGGCAGGCTGCTCTAGATTTGAATTCCAGCTCTCAAGTTACTTCTTGCCTGCATAGGGAGTTCAAGGCCAGCCTGGAATGAGTGAGACCCAAGAAGGAAGAAAATGAGAGAGTGAGGAGGGAAGGAGGGATTTGTTTTTCATATCCAAAGTGTTTATCATCCTACATACTGAACCTCCTCCCTTGCCCTTCAGCTGCTGGACTTAAGCTCCGTATTTCTCAGCTACAGAGTAGTTATTATTAAGAACTTACTCTTTTATGAGGGCTAGTCACAAAAGCACTTAAAATGTGCCTGACACACAGGAGGGACCCCCCACACAAGCAGCTAGGATATGTGCTATGCATGCATACGCCATACAAACTCATTACATTTGCTTTGAAACATCTAAGTGCTCCAGGAGCTGATAAACTAACTGCTGGTTCTGCCCTGCTTGGTCTTGAATAAAATTATTCCTCTGATTTTAGCTTCTTTTTAATTCTCCTCTCCCAAAGGCAGAGCCCCTTTGATACCAAGTGTACTTACCACCAACTTTTTACCTGATATAAAAATATGACTTTCTAGAGATGTATACTTTGAATTAGAAATCTGTTCTTGCCTCTGGGGAAATGAACACAATTAGATAATGCTCTGTAGTCCCCCAGCCTTTCATTGCCTGCATGCCCTTGAATACACAGAAGACAGTCTCCCAGTGACCAAGTTCTTGGTGCTAGTTGAGAGAAGAGGGTGACTCATTATCCTTATTCATCAGTAGTTCTACCCTTTGGGGAGCTGGTACACTTGGCTTCCTGCTTGCCCAGAGCATTGGTTAGAGCCCCATAAACCACACCTTGGATATGAAAAAAAAAAGTCCTTCCTTCCTCTCTCATTTTCTTCTTTCTTGGGTCTCATTTATCCCAGGATGGCCTTGAACTTCCCATGTCAGCAAGAATGACCTCGAATGAAGATAAATGACCTCATCTTCTGGCCTTTACCTCCTGAGTGCAGGGATTACAGACATGCTCCACCATGGCTGGTCTGTGTGGTGCTGAGGATTGAATACGGGTCGTTGTTCATACTAGGCAAGCATCCCCAGCCCTCTAGCTGCTTGACTCCAACATACAGTGTCTTAAACTTTTGTTTGTTTTGAGGCAGGGTCTTACTATGAAGCTCTGGCTCACCTAGAACTTACTACGTAGACCAGGTTGGTCTTGAGTTTACACAGATCTGGCTGTCTCTGCCTCTTGGGTGCTAGGATTAAAGGGGTGTGCCACCACAACCAGCCCCAATGTCTTCTTTGTTGGCTTATCTATACAGAAATAATTTTCTGATTTCCTTGTTCTGTTGTCCCCACCTTTCTTTGCTGTATTTACTAACTCAAAGTAATTCCAGTCATAGCTGCTGTCTCAAGTCAAACACACAGCTGGAAGAGACCAGGCTCTGGAAGGTCTGACAAGCTTCCTCAATAGATTTCACCTACATTCATTTTCCATTTTCCATGTTAGTGCACCCTTGTGATCCCAGCACTTGGGAAACAAGGGAAGGATCAGAAGATCAGGGCTGGCCTCAGCTACATAGCAAGTTTGAGGTCAACATGGGCTGTATGAGACTCTGTCCCAGAAAACAAAGCAGGAGCTGGAGAGATGGCTCGGTGGTTAAGAGAACTTATTGTTCTTGCAGGGGGCTCAGGGCTCAGGTTCTGCTCCCAGTGCCCATATGGTGGTCCATACCACCTGTAACTCCAGAGGACCTGATGCCCTTTTCTGACCTCTGTGGGCTTCTGCATGTGTGTGGTGAACAGCCACGTGTATATACATAAAAGAAATAAGTATTTAGAAAAAACCAAACAAGCCTTTAAGAAGGCAGAGACTGTCAGAGTTCTCTGAGTTCGAGGCCAGCCTGGTCTACAGAGTGAATGTCAGGGCAACCAGGGCTAAACCCTGTCTCAAAGACAAAAGCAAAGATAAATAAATAAAAATAAGGTAAAAAAATTAAAAACCAACAAAACACTAGGTGGTGGTGGCATATACCTTTAATCCCAGCACTCAGGAGACAGAAGCAGGCAGATCTCTGTGAGTTCGAGGCCAACCTGGTCTACAGAGTGAGTTCCAGGACAGCCAGGGCTACACAGAGAAACCCTGCCTTGAAAAAAAAAACATAAAAAACAAACAAACAAAACAAAACAAGCAAACAAAACATTTGCATCTATCTTTGGCAACCTCCATTGTAAGACTTAAACAGACACTCTCTGTAAGGAGCCCTTGTTCTGGATGGCAGACCACTTCCCAGACCAGCCTTGCTGTGTCTCTGCTGGTTTAGTAGCATCTAGGCACTCTTGCTTTCTTCTTTGTCTTTGTTCAGACACTTATGGGATTAAAGTGTCTCGGTCAAGAAAGCCTTGTACCGCTCACAGGACTTGAGGTAGAAAATGCTTCTAACCCTGACCCTACTAGGTGACAGGATATAGGGCATCTTTGAGCCTCACCCCCCACCCCACCCCCATCCCACACTCGCCTTGTGAAAATAAGAGGAACCTCACAGGATCCTCAGGATTACAGACAAATTCGTTCAGAGTGCGACAGTACATGTCTGTGGTCCCAGCACTCAGGAGGATGAAGCTGGAGAGTCTTTGGCTCAAGGCCAGTGTGGGATTGTGGGTTCAAGGCCACCTAGAGCTACATTGTAAGACACTATCTCAAACATAAATAATAAATAGAGCAATGCACATCTATCTGGCTCGGTGCCAGGCACACTGTAAATGGCCAGCAAGTACTGATTTCATTGGTTAGCAGGGAAAATTAACCACAGGCTTTTGGCATGCAGCCCACCTGTTCTCTTTGTCTGGTCAGGGGCTGCTACCTGGCATTTGCCTCACAGCAGCCAAGCTCAGGTTCTCTTCCTTGCAGCTTCCCTTTCCTTTGGTGAGGCTGGAAAGAGGACTGTAGAAGGAAGCCCTAACTGGACCAATGACTTTCAAGAGACCAGGTCACAGGTCAGCCAGGCTGGCACTCCCTTGTTTCTCTCCCCACAAAGCCGCCCAGACTTTATCAGGGAGTTGGCTGAGGTTCTGGGACAGGGGGGAGGAGGGGAAGTTGTGTGGTGGGGCCCCTGTTTCCTGGCAGGGCTGCACTGCCTGGTACTCTGGCAACAAGTTGAGGCAGAGACAGGTTCAGGGGTCGTCAGAGGGGAAGTGCTGGCCTCTGCAGTGGCTTAGCAGATCTGAATTCCCAGGGAGCAGAAAGAATGCCCCGCCCAGGCCACCAGCACCAGAGAATGAGAGAACGGCACTTTAAGAATTTGACATTTTATATTTCCATAACAACACTCAAATATCATGATGCGAATCATCTAGATTTACTGACTTTCACACTTATGCATAATAATGCATACTTAGACATTTAAAATGGCATACAGGAGGGGTCCCCTTGCTGCTGTTAGCACTCTAAAGTTCTGGGCAGTAGAAGAGTGAGGAGGTAACCAGGTTAGACTCCTGCCTCTGGAACTGTCCTTAACCCATTGCTATTTTTCTGTGCCCCAGTCTATCTGCCAAGGTGAGAGAAATGCCCCACCTAGCATGCGGAAAAAGAGGAGTGGGGTGGGTAGGTAACTGCTTGACAGTGGGGAGCAGAGGAATCTTACAAGACTCAGACTAGTGGCAGAGCACCAGACCTCCTCCTCACCCACCACCTGCCCCTTTTCGGGAGACATTTCTCCCACTGGCTTCCATTTTCCGAGGCTTGGCTTGCCTGCCTTAGGGACTCTGAGCTCTATCCAGAGTCATTCCTTTCCTGCTTTACTGAAGGTGGTGCCAGGCAATTCCTCCCTACCTTTAAGTTCAAACCAATGTCTATCTCTCTTTCCTGGTCTCTACCTGCCTGTTCTCTCTCCTGGGGAGCCCAAGGCTACGTCTAAAGGGAGAGGAAGCTGAGGACTTTGCCCTTTAGGTGATTCATCCTTCTCTGGCCTAAAAACCTGTGCCAACATGCCTGGCCCATCCTGAGTAAGGATGGGGCCGCTTTCCTGGGGAGTCATCTCTGAAAGTCCCAGGGAGTGGCTGTGGTGCCTGAGTAAAATGAGCATGCTCACAGGCTAAGCTGGGTGGGACCACTGCTCTACAGGATCTCATTCAGCATGGGTCCCTACTTGTTATGAGAGGGTGTGTGTCTAGCTCAGTCTGTTTCGTGCTGCAGGGAAGGGAAAATTCTGGCTATTTCTGAGCAGGTAACTGGGCAGAGTGAAGAACTGAGTCACAGGACTTCAGAATGGGTAAATTCCTGGCGCTTCAGTTCCTATGTCCTCAGGCCTGCTATTCTCTGGGTCTTTGGTTCCTGTTCTATAAAATGAGGGACTGGATTAAATCGCTAGGTATACCCCAGACCTTTTGTCATTGTAGATAAATTACCAGTGTGTACACTCTGACAGAACTACCTGACATCGGGCAGAAGGCCATTCACGGTCTGACCTCACCACTGCATCCCCAGATTCAGTAAGATGCCCTAGGAAAGCTTCAGGGGGAAACATCCTGATAAGAATGTTACTTTCACTTCTGCAGTCACAGGGCTTTATTGCCAGAAGGGCCCTTTGCCAGGTGACTCTATTAGCCAGTCTCTTAAACACTCTCTGCATCAATTTCAGAAGCAAAAATAAAGCAAAGAGGTTGGCAAGGTGGCTCAGCAGGTAAAGGCACTTGCCACCAAATTGGAAGCCTGGGTTTGATTGCCAGGACCTACATGGTAGAAGGAAAGAACTGACTCCTACAGATTGTCCTTTGACTTTCACAAGTGCATAGTGGCACATAGTGGCATGAACACACACACACACAC